ACAAAAACTTTATCCAAATTGTTTTTTTAAATCTCTAGGTGATTTCAAACCCCCAATTTAGTATACACTTTACACATTGGTCAATACAAAGTTTCACTCGAATTTTAAAGTATTATATTTGCAAAATTCATTTTGTGTAAGCCTCGAATTTCTCCACAAAAAGTAATTTTAGAAAAAAAAACTCTGTAAATTCTTAAAATTCCGTTATGCATTAATTCTGAATAAAATAGATAACTTACAACAAGAAATACTTTGTGTTATTCATTAGGAAATAAACGAACATAGTATGGATTTATTTTTAAAGCCTTTTTATTCCATTTTTATTTGCTTTGGTTAAAATATATAATTATCGTTCTTAGTATCTTTTTAGATGTCTAAACTTATTTACAATTCATAGTGTATCATCACTTTTCCTCGAAGAATGTGGATGGTAACGGACTTTTGTACATAATTATATAGCTGATTTTTAAAGAGTAAACATTGTTTGATCATCCCGATTAACAATAAAATAAAACTAGAACTGAAAAACTTTTCGATTTCCTCCGACAGACTTAAAATTACCAATTGGAAAACTTTTTGGAAGTTGTCCATGAATTGAACTACCTGTTAGGGATATTGATGGCTACCGATTGGGCACACTACTGTGTCTTCTCCTTCTGTACTGCGGCAGCGGTTAAATCTCCGCCAGCTGCCTTTTCCACCTCACGATTCTTTTTACGTTCGGCCTTCTTCTTCTGACTGGTCAGGTATAGACCCAACGCAATCATCGCCGCCCAGCTTACGTATCCAATGTGATAAACGGAGCTATAGAACCGCCAAATTTTGCCAAACGATGAGAGCAGGAAGGCTTCGCCCAAGTAACTGAAGGCGAACCACTTGAAGATCCAGAAGAGAACATCGATCACCCGGCGCCTGGTGCCAGTTTCATGTTTGCGCACCAGCTTATCCCACATGTCCTCCAGGGCAACGTAGAAGGGAGCGCCCATGATGCAGAAGTAGTGTCCCGGTCGGAATCCGTGCCAGTAGGCGGAGCACAGCAAAGTAGCGCCAGTTCTAAGAAAGTGCCAAAGGCAAGTTAGTAAGGGAAACACTCAATAGCTCATAATGTATGTAACTAACTACTAGGAATACCTGCCAACCCTGCGATCAGTAGCAAAGGGAAAGAACAACAACAACGGAAGTAGTAAGAAAAGCAAGCGAAAATACGACAAAAGCTACAATTCTATGAAACGAGTTAATGTAAGAATCGGGAACTAATAGTTTTGTACCAATAGAACGTGATAGCATCACAGTTACTTGCTAAATACTTGGAAAGTCTCCGTAGCAACAAACACACCTGTATCTCTTGCTGGGGAACAGTTTGTAAACGTTGACAGCCAGCCAATACTGGACACAGACGTTCCAGTGCTTCATGCCCTCGCGGAAGGTCCAGCATCGCTCCACCTCGAGTACTCTCGTGTTCACGATCGTTGTGAAGTTGTACAGGTGCTTGTCTGCATCGCGTTTCAGGTGCTGGTAGCGTTTCCGTGGTCCCTCTCCATTGTTCGGATCCGACTCATCCGGATACGCTCCGAAGCCAGCCATTGTGCAGACACATTCGCTCAGAGTTAGCCCGGTGTAGATGCGAGCACGGAATGTCCAGAACGTGGGCCACACGTACATCAAGCGGTAGACAAAGGAGCGGTCGTTGAAGAACTCATCACTCAAAGCATACTAAAATAAACAGCAAAGTAAGTACTCTTCGGAGGCATGTTTAAGTCACTACTCACATCTAGGGGCCACAAATAGTTGGTGGCCAGATAAAGAGCGCAGTAGAATCCTGCATTTTTTAGCTTTTCCAGAGTGGCTTCAACGCAGGGTGCGTGGCTCTTAAAGGGCATCTCAAAATAGTCCCTGTACGTGCGATACCGATAGTAGGGACCTGTGAGTTGATAAACAAAAGTGGTTGCGCCTCATAGAAATCGATTTTGAGCGTGTATGAGTTGAAGTACTATCAGCATTTGGATTGGACTTTGATACCATACATGTTCGCAACACAGACAGCCGTTCTGCGTGCAAGTGAATAGTTAATTAGCTTGAACCCAGCCTGCTCTTCACCTGTTAGAACTCCGATATAGTTAAAGCTGTAGTGCAGAATCTCGACGGCAGTCAGGGTCTGCAAATCCTCGTCGTAGTCGGTAATCTCGACAAGACTCTCCTGGTTAACATCCCGCTGGTCGTTCTTCTTCTGCTCGTCGCGTGCCTGCAGTCGTTTCCAGGCGGCTGTCTTCTCGAAGGCAATGCCCGACACCTGCCGTGTGGAAGGATTAGCAATCAAGTTACAACTAACGACTGATGGTTATGCAACTGGAACACACCTTCAGGGTCAGTATCATTTGTATCATGTTGGTGTGGCCGGGAATGCCCAGGTGGAAGTCGAACAGGCGGAAGATCACCAGGTAGCCAAACATCACTGCGAAGGTGACGAGGTGACCTTTGCTGGAGGAGGGAGCAGGGTGATAATTAACCGGTTACAAAGGCGGCAGGAGCCCCCAACTCACCTCGGATGCACGAGGAGCACGGTGGCAGTGCCCAGGGCCAGGGAGGCGAAACAAAACAGGCTGTGGAGCCCCGACACAATCACAACCACAGTCACGCCCAGCGCAGTGGACACCAGCTTGCGCTGGCCCTCGTCCGCGATCTTCCTCACATAGCTACCGGCTCCGATGCAACCCAGGAGGCAGATCACGTAGATCACGTCGTCGATACTCATGCCACTTTTGGCTTTTGCTGCTCCTTCTGCTATTGATTTTTGGGTTGCCTTTGTGTGTTTTGGAGGCGCAGAAACATCGAATGCCAATCAAAACAAAACAATAACATATCGAGTGGGAAGACCGGTTTCTCAACCGATTAACCAAAAGACTATCGAATGAGACAACCGACTAAAATTTCACCAACATTTATAAAATATATTATATATATTATATATAAATATATTATATTATAAAATTTATTTCGAGTAAATAAATTGGATTTAATTTAATCTTTTTTATTTGTCAATTAAATCTTGGTCGGGCTAAAAATTCACCGATAGATTTTCGATTTCATGGTGGCTGTAGCATTGTTTTCCGATAGATTTTCGATTAGTTTATGCTTCGGATTCACAGCTGTTTTCCTGTATGGAATGTGTCTCCGCTAAATTCGGAGTCAGCATTAGAGTATCCCACTAACAACCGGAAACTTCGCATGCTATTGCACAAAAGCTGGATGACATGAAACCGCGAAGAACCTCCGCTAAAAAATAATGTGGACGAGAATGCATTTTATTGCAATCGAATTGAGCCTCGAATTTCTGTGCAAACGAGAAAATTGTTGAATTTGCTTAAATTCATAAATACTATTCGATTTATGGGCATTTTAATTTAAGAAGTGAAATTATAAACGATTCTTTGACTGTCGTTACTACTTTGTATTCATCATTAAATTTAAACTGTTTTTCAAAATGTTCTAAAATGTTATAAAAAAAACTATGGCCAAATTGCATGCAATTATCTTGACAAGGAAACGTTTTAACTAATTATAAGTTTACTTCTTTGTTGTATATTTTTGTTGTACATGAAATAAACTTTTTGTTTTCCGACAGTGTTGGTGCTTATCCAAACTGTAAGAACAATTTTTTTTTTTAAATACAGTAAAAAAACAAAATTAAAGAAATATGGACAAAGACTTTCGATTTCCAGCTCATCCTCTTTTAATTTGTGCTTAACCTTACGGATGATATTTTATGTTCAGTTAAAAGTTTGCAACTCAGTGAAGGAAAAATATTCGACCCTATAAGGTATGTATATATTCTTGTTAAGCATCTGGCACCAGGCGAGTCGATCAAGCCATTTCCGGCCGTCTCTCTGTTTAAATTCTTAATAATTACTAATAAAATAACCCATTACTACATCTCGAAGTATAAGTTAAATAAATTATAATTTCGTTGTGAAATTATAGCCAAGTGAAGGTGATCAAAAATGTAAGTTTTTTAGGGTCGGTGATACCTTTCTGTGTTGCTTTGCAAAATTATTTTGGCAAGTGATTTATTTACGTATTGAGTATTCAAATTAAAATACCTATAAAAAAAGTTGAACCGTTTAAAAAGTCTGGAAAAATATTCAATTTTGTAACACATTTCAAAATTGTATGGAACAAGATGAATGCTTAGAAGAATTCCCTAGAGTTTCCCACAATACTCATTGTTTCCATGCAACTCATATAAGTGGCTGTACACAATGCTCATTACATTTGTAACTAAAGCAATGACTTCCTCAAAAAACTCCAAGTTCGTAGTTTGCGGCATTTATTAAATATCAAACCATTCAGCCTTTGCAAATGATATTTCCCAACGCAAGCCTCAAAAATCAATTAGCTAAACGTTCAATTGACTCTAAGCCGAGTCGTTGACATGGGCCTGATAATGAGATTCTATAATCGGTTGTAAACGCCCAGCTGATAGTTGTGATCAAGTTTAGCTAAAACGATTGCCCACTTTTTGCGAGAATTTCCCATGCCCACACTGTCTGTTCTCGTGCTACGTCATCAAGTGCCCATAGAACCGGTAATCCGAACTCGGCTCGCTTCAGTGGGAAGAAACGCGTGCCTCCATGGAAAAAAGCGGGCAATGCCTCATATCAACTGGGCAGATTGTGACCAGGGGCTTGCAATAAGGGGGCTCCAATCCTCCAACTTTATGAACTTTAATCAAGGAAAATTCTAAGATTTTTTATCGGTGAAAACATTACTTTAGGAAATATGTTTTTAAATACATACAAGTAAGGTTTTTGCCTCCGGTAGTCAGTAGTTTGTTACCATACTTTTTATAACTCTACAAAACAAATAAAATTATGTAAAAATAGTAGAAGTGGATGTAAGTTTATCTAATGCTAAAGACTTTATTTATAACATTCTGAAACAAACAAAGTAATGATATACTTGTAGAAGTCTATGTATAAATTGAGATGTACTGTAACTTTTCGAAATGTTCTGTCGATTAAAAATAAAGTTAACTTTATTTGGATAGAGGCTAAGATGTATGTTTGTTTTTAGAATTAGCCATGTTAATATTTCACCTTAATTGCCTATAAGTATTTATGTGATTCTCAGTGGATTTCCCTTAACTGCTTTCCCCTTCGAGCTCCGCCTCTGTTTTGAGCGGGCTTCGCAATCGCAATCGCTTGATCAGTGCGACTTATTGGCGTGCTAATGCCAGGTACGAGTCATGACGTGCTGGTGTGTTGATCTACCAAAGCCCAGAATGCATGGCACTATTTATAGGATCGCTTAGGCGGCAGCATATAAAACCAGCTAGCCCGATCGAGGAGATCAACAGAGTGCAACAGCCAGTGGAATCGATAGCTCCTCTAGCCGCAGCTGATCCAATAAACAGACCTAGAATGTGGATTCAACTATTTGCAGTTTTGCTGTTGGTGGCAGCATCAGGTGAGTTAGCTCAAATTGGTTTGAATATAATCATAATAACGTATGCATAATTACCTGCAATTAGCTCAAGGCAAGCCCAGTGCAAATGAAGTCGAGGACGACGGCGACTACGATGCCGAGATGAGCGATTTTATGGGCGCTCTGCCGGACCTCGACGACACACCCACTGGCATAGGCCAGCGATCGGACATCTCGACGGAGCCGGAGGCGGACGACATTCTGGCCAACCTGGACGACGAATACGAGGGTGCCAAGCACTACGAGTGGAACAGGTGCGACAAGGATCTCAGCGAGTCGCGGGGCATCGGCAAGTTTCTGGACCTGCCCTTCATCAGGAAGATAGCCAGCAACCTGAACCCGTTTGCCAGCCAGAAGCTGCGCATGCAGTTCTACCTCTTCAAGCGGGAATTTCCCGAGTGCGGCAGGGAACTGGATTTCTCGAGCGAGCGCCAGTGGAGGCACTCCGGCTTCAACGCCTCCCTGCCCACCAGACTGATGATCCACGGCTGGATGAGTCAGTCGCGCGGCTCCTTCAACCGGGATGTGAAAAACGCCTATTTGAGGAGGGGCGAGTACAACGTGATCGTGGCCGACTGGAGTGCCAGCTCGGCCAACATCAACTACTTCTCGGTGGTGAAGCTAATTGAGACCTTCGGCGCCCAGTTGGCTCAGTTCGCCAGGAACCTCAACCGGCAGTTTGGCGCCGACTTCGACAGCATGTACCTCATCGGGCACTCGTTGGGGGCCCAGATAGCTGGTTCGGCGGGAAAGCGATTGAAGCCGGACCAGGTGAACACCATCTTCGCCCTGGATCCAGCGGGTCCCAAATTCCGCCACCGCAGCACCGAGTTCCGGATCGATCCCACCGATGCCAAGTTCGTGGAGTCCATCCATACCAGCGCCAACTTTGGGTTCCGCCGGCCCACGGGCAGTGCCACCTTCTACCCGAACTACGGAGCCTACCAGCGTAGCTGCTACTACCTGGGCTGCTCCCACATCCGCTCCTACCAGATGTTCGCGGAGTCCATCAACTCGCCGCTGGGCTTCTGGGGCACTCCGTGCACGCGGGACAACGGGCGGTGGCAGTGCGACCAGAGCCAGCGGCAGTCCATCCAGATGGCGGGCGAGCCGTCGGTCCACAAGGAGGGCGTGTTCTACGTGAAGACCTCCTCCAGCGACCCGTTCGCCCTCGGCAGGCAGTAGAGCTGGGGTAGATAAAATACATAAGCTATCACAATATAAGTAGTTGTAAGCGCCAGTGAATGTGATCAACTTTACCAAATACATGTACAACATTTAAAATCTTGAGCTTCATACTTAAAATGCTTCTTGAACTTATTAAAATAAGAATCGAAAACGATTCTCAATTACTGTTTTCGAACTTTAATCAATTTTAAAAATCCTTTTTTATATCAGTTCCGAAAACTTTTATAATGATAATGCTGAGTTTTTGACAATCCTTAGAAATTGAAAGCTTTTGAATTGTTAAAAACCAGAGGCATCAAAGCTCTGAATTTTACAATTGAATTGAGTTTTTGGAATATTTATTTATCGGTAGACACAAAATTTTCTAAAATCGAGCAAAAATGTAGAATTTATATGGTTATGAAGTACTCTGCTGCCGCTCTGCCGCTGCTCTAAGCTTCTAGTGCTGGCTATGCAGTTTGACAGATGGCGCCACCTTAACCCCGATTGTTTTATAGGAATAATACTAAGGTATCTAAGATATTAAAGGTTGAATCAAGTTTAAAAATCATTTAATCAGTTCCGAAAACAATTTGGAGAAATTTTTAGCTTTCGAATTGTTGAAAATCAGAAAAAATCTACATATATGTACGTACTTTAAAATCCATTAAAAGAATTTCTTCTTTAAAGCTAATTTCCCTCAAGTTTAAAACAGTTACTAAAGGCCTCTTACTTTGATTTATCAGTTAAGTTTTGGTATTTTTTGTAATTATTAACTTTAAGATTGCGATAGAAAATAAATGGTATGATATGTAAATTTTATATATTTTATATTTGTATTTAAATTGTAAATTTAACATTTGTATGTAAATATAAGAAATGGAACCAAAGTGTGCGTCTGATCAAATTTCACATCTAATAACAGCAATCTAACAATCTAATAAACAGGGAAATAAAAATCAACCATAAAAGTACTAATTGTGTTCCACATCATGTCTGCCGAAATTGAGGAGCTACTGAAACGTTACCAGAACTATCCGAATGTGGTTGGCGTGATTATTTTGGACCCATTCGCCATCCCCATCAAGACGACCATGGAGTACACTCTGACCGTGCACTACGCGGCCCTGATCAGCACATTGACGTACAAGGCGGCCAAAATGGTCTCCAACTTGGACGCGAGCAACGAGCTGATGAACATACGCCTGCGCACCAAGGTGCACGAGGTGATCGTGGTGCCCTCCGAGAACTACATCATCATCGTGGTGCAGAACCCGGGCACTTGATTCACCCAGTTCCAGCTCCAGTTGCAGTTCCATTTCCATCCAATAAACCACTCTCCTGTGTTGTTGCCCGATTGCAATTGGCTTTATCTAGTTTTAATTAAAGTTGGAAAGTGTCTGGGCCAATGGCGCATCTTCGGCGGCGTGAAATATGCGACTTGGCGCTGGCTTGGCGTTAATTGCTGCAGATAAATACACGCCGCGTCGCCATAATTACGACAGACAGATTACGGGCCGCACTTAATTGTCCGCCGTAAAGTGTTTGCCGGTATCTCTAATCCGGCCACCGAAGAAGCCACTCCCACCGCCTTAAAAAGCGGCTCCTGCCCGATTTTAATTATTCGGCGACGTTCTGACTCTCATCCGTTTGCATATTCATTGGTTCTTTTTGCGGAGGTTGGGAAATATTGCATCGCTTTGATTTCCATTATGGCGATTTCACAGATTTTTCGCCCTCCGCCGCAGAAACTTTGGCTGCAACGTGGTCGGCCGAGGCCAGATAAGCTATCCGAACCGGTTATAAAAGCGGTCCAGCAGAGGAAAAGGATCCAAAGTGATTTTAATCCTCTTTTTCTGGAGAAGGTGTTCTGCCTTTTTTATTGGCTGATCAAGGGTAGACATCATTTTTTCAACAGGTACATGGTCTGTTATTATTATTATTAAATTGTCTTAAATGTGCCTGTAAATCTCTTAATCTTTTTGATAGTAAATGCTTATATATTTCATTTGTATTAATATATATTTTATATTATTTTTAAATTGACCTTTATTTAGGTTTGAAAAAACGCATATCTTTAATATTGCACTTTTACGACGATTTTTAACAACAGTTTAGCCACTTGTTTAATACAGAAACAAAATATCAAATTTTATAAAATAAAAACTCAAGTTTACAAAAGTTTGTAAAAAAGTTGTCTGTTTGTTGTTTGACTTTTTATTAAAGAAAAGTGTTTTTATTTTAAATTTTTTGGTTATATGGCGATTGAAAATCACAAATGTGTGAGTGTAAGTTTTTTGCCGTCACTAAATTTACAAATACGATTTTTTTTTGAACCCAAATTTTATAATCACCCTATCCATGCAAAAATGTGACATTTGATTTTGGAGGCCTCTAGCATTCTGGGAATATATATTTCATTTCTATTTCAGGTTTCGGACTGTAAAGAACTCTAAAAAACCAAAAAAAAAAAAGAAACAAAATTTTATAATCAAATTTCCAAAATTGTTCAAGTCGAATTTTTCCTTTAAAAAATTGAAGACATGGAGTACGGGAACGGTATGCAATATGAAGGTTACGGTCAGGGTGGTGAAGTAAGTGCCACGTGATTTCATTCTTATACACCCTAATATATGTTTCCTGAATGTACAGGGTTATGAAATGAACTATGACCAGATGGGTCGCGGCCAAGGATATGGCCAGGAGCAGAGTGGCTACGGGCAGGAGTCTAGAAGCTTCCAAAGCGGATCCGCTGCCCTTGGAGGTCCTGGATACCGCAGTCCCCTGCGGTACACCAAAATGCTCCGTGAGATGAACTCCCGCAACGGACTTTAGTAAGTAGATCCGATAGCATTTCATTCGGAATTTGTCCCCTCCAATTATCCATTTCTTCCTCAGTTCGCCCATGGAGCAGCAGCGGGGCAGTGGGCAGGGGGACTACTATAACACTTTGCCCGGCCTAGGCGGCGCTGAAGGTCAATTGTACCAGTCCCGAAACAATGGAAATTCTTACTTCTAAAAATGTTGTGATCATTCAGCGTGTAAAAATAATGGCTTACAGTTAAACGTGTCGCTTAAAAAATAAATTTTAACGTGATTAAAACTGAACTCTAGCATTTATATTAGCGAATCAATTATAAAATATATGGGACAGTTAAGGAACGTTATATTTCTAGTAAACTATTCAAGAACCAAGTTGGTTAAGCAGAAATAAAATTTAAATTATAATAGTTCAGAATTAAGCTTTTAGTTTTATTAAAATAGAAAAGCGATATCATATAAGTGTCATACGAATGAACGAATAACTGAGCTGAAAATCATCTTCATAGCTAGGGTATTTTACACATATAATTAATTTTTGCAATAGCTCCAATTGTGTATAAACTTCGGATGGCCGATCTTGTTTTCATTAATTTTAAAATGTCTCTGTTCTGATTGGTGATTTTGTTATATTGTTTACTTGGGAGTAACAGAATGAATATTTATTTTTCTCAGCAAGATTAAGCGGGATGTTACATTTTATTTGCATGGTTAGGAGCGCGTTGCTATGTTATGAAAAGCATATTTTTCAGTCCTATTTGCAAATAACGTTCTAATAAATAATCATTTTTTTATTTATTAAGTACAAAAATAGAATGTTACTTTTTAGTTTATAAAATTCCAATAAAATAAGCTTTATGTAATCTAGTGTTGTTTTCATTTTTGGTGTCAAATTCCAAAAATGTTTTTGAGCTATTGGTTTAAGTCTTTTTAACGAAAACAAACAGAAAAAAAATTTGAAATTATAGCTAAATTTTTGTTGTAAAAATTTTCTTTAGCAAAAATGGACATTGACTATTCTACGTATGCTCAGGTTTTAGGCTTCCCCTATATGCCCACTCCCGAAGAATACTATCCGGAGGTTAGTGCTATAAAGTGTTCGCGATCCAGGTACTATAGCTTGGTTTTAATACTTAGATGAGAGGTGGCATGCAGCAACAGCAACAGCAACAGCAGCAATACAATGACATTGACCAGGGATCCAGCCATTCAGCTCCTATCCGAAACAGGTTCCATCAGAGCCATCAGGGGGCTATGGAGGTGTCCGATGGCTTCCAGGCCAACGCCTATTCACCAGTTCGCTATCAATCTACCAGTGCAGCCGCATATCGCGGCATGGTGAAGGAACAAAGACGAGCCAAGGAAATGATGTCCCGCAATGGGTTGTAGATCGTAAGGCTCTCACATACCTTTAAGTCTAAATACTCGAATCTTATTGGATTTAAATTCAGATCACCCAATGAAGCATCATTACAGTGGCGGTGATTCACATTACAACTGAAATAATGATGGCGAGTCACATTTACAAACAGATTTTCATATACGTAAACTAATTTTTCTGTGGTGAAAATTTGTGTTAGTTTAATATATTTCCTCCATAAAGGGGTTTTTTTTTTTGCATGTTGTCTTTTTTTTTTACTTAAACTTAGCAATTGAAATTTATTAAAAAAAACAAGAAAGAAAGCAAACTTCGGCAAGCCGAAGTTCACATACCCTTGCAGCTATTGCATGAATTAAATACTTTTGAAAACATTTAAATTATGATTTACTTGAGTATATGCTGAAAAACAGTGAAGCTATGATGATTTGCAGCTCAATTATTAGATAGTTATTTTATATATTTTTATTAGTTCTATGGGAGCTATATGATATAGACGTCCGATTTTGATTAAATTTAAACCATAATTCTGAAATAATTAAACATTGCCATATGTCGAAGAACTAAACAAAAAATTAAAAAAACAAAACTTATAATTTTTTTTCATTTATTTTTCCGATTGTTCCTATGGGAGCTATATGCTATAGTCGTCCGATTTTGATGAAATTTATACCGTAAATCGGAAACATTTAACCATTAATAAATGTCGAAGACCTAAACAAAAAATTAAAAAACAGCAAAGTTATAATTTTTTTCATTTATTTTTCCGATTGTTCCTATGGGAGCTATATGCTATAGTCGTCCGATTTTGATGAAATTTAAATCGTAAATCGGAAATATTTAACCATTACTATATGCCGAAGAACTAAACAAAAAATTAAAAAAACAGCAAAGATATAATTTTTTTCAGTTATTTTTCCGATTGTTCCTATGGGAGCTATATGCTATAGTCGTCCGATCCGGCTCGTTCCGACTTATATACTACCTGCAATAGAAAGACAACTTTTGGGAAAGTTTCATGCAGATAGCTTTAAAACTGAGAGACTAGTTTGCATATAAACGGACGGACAGACGGACAGACGGACAGACTGACAGACGGACAGACGGACGGACAGACGGACATGGCTAGATCGACTCTACTAGTGATGCTGATCAAGAATATATATACTTTATAGGGTCGGAGATGTCTCCTTCACTGCGTTGCAAACTTCTGACTGAAATTATAATACCCTCTGCAAGGGTATAAAAATAAACACATTGGATTCATCTATACTTTCCGTTCATATTTAAAAGCTGCGCTACACTTTAGAAAAAGCATAGAAGCAAAACAGTTGACACTGCTTGAGGGTAATTAACGTGTGTTTTATGGCCATTTGCCACTGTATGGAACCACACGCAACCGTCTGCCCATCCCGATTCACCCACCACATCACACAGTGGACTTGGACCCACCCAGGAATCGGGGGGGGAGGACAGAAGTGGTTGGCTCAAGTCGCCCAAACCAAACAGAATGCAATGAAGGATTAAAATAAGAAAGATGTGCAAATAAAATATTTTACAAAGCGGACAACGAGGACAACTTTTTGTCCAGAGCTTGGGTGTTGGAGGTGGCAAGTGGGCGTGGGTGTGGGTGGTTGAGGGTCCGAAATGTGAACGGAACATGTCGATGTGGAGTGGGGCCGGCACTGAAACACAGACAGCGGAGGACTGGGCAGGCGACCTCGACCAACAATGGCAATCCGACTGAAGCTTCAACCAGAAGTTGCACCACTCGGGGATCGTGTAGATGTGGATGTGGATGTGGATGTGGACGTGGATGTGGATGGCGTTCCGGAGAGGGGTCGGGATTGCATGGTAGCATTGTCAAAATAAATCAATCGGTTTTATGTTGTTTTCTGGAATTTCGGTTTTGTTGCTTTGCTATTTTGTTGCCCGCCGCCGTCGACATCAGGATGCTCCGGTGTGGAACAGTTGCAGGAGCTGCAGGACCAAGAACAACAGCTCCAGCTTGCGGTGGCATAAATCAGTTGGCCGTTGGACCCATTTATGAAAGGATAAACCCAGCAAACACACACCCCGGGGAGCCCCAAGGTGAGATGAGGGGTGGCAGCTCATAAAAATGCATAAGTTACAAAAATTGTGTAGGTATGTTAAATAAAAACACAAATTTTTAACTGGCCCCCAGTCCGGCTGGAAATTTCTGATTTATCTCGAAAGGAATTAAGATGTCTCAAAAGTTCCAGCGGGCCACATTAAAACATCATCCAAGGAGAGACGCCACACTAAAGTGGGAAGGGCAAACAAACCCTCGCCTCTCGAATTCCTCCTATCAACTCCTCATAATCGTTCACACTTCCTCTGCCGGCAACTTTGGCTTTGTGGCTGGAGTTCGGGGTTCGGGGTTCGGGGCCAGATGGTTTAACCAAACTTTACTGCATCTCTTTGGACGCGTCTAAAGTGATTTCCTTTTAGGATTTTCAAAAACTTTCACCAAAGGTAAGTAAACATCGCCCGCCCCACCACACATGAATCGCAGTCCGAGTCCTTGGCCATGTGGGCGGTGGGCGGTGGGCGGTGGGCGGTCCTGCTCTAATGAAGCACATTTCGTCGGCGCATTTGCCTCAACTCTTTAATCCCTAATAACTTTTAAGCAAGTGACTTTACTACGCACACAAAATGTCCAAATTCATCATCTTTGTGTTGGCATTGAATGTGGGGACAGGACGGAGTTGTTTGCTGCTGGGTCCTGTGAGCAAGCCCAAGGATTTAGCCTTAATTCGGATTCCTTGGTCTTACAAAATGTCAGTTCATTAGCAAATTAAAATTTCGGAACACGAAAAACCATAGATCTTTTTAGTTTACTGCACGCGTCAACTTTAATTGTAACATATTTTTTGGCGAATAAAAATAAAAATAAAACTACAAACAATCCAATGATTATCCAGATATTTTCATTAATTGCACAAATATAAATAGTCTACGAGATTACAATTTTAACAGCGTCACTTAGATCGTTATTCTTAGTGTTATTTTATTTCCAACAACTTTTTCCCCCCAGAGAAATGAATGTTTATGCGTTAAATTAAAATTGCGTGAAAAATGTGACCCGAAGATGGTCGAAAAAGGCAACGAAAGTTACGAAATTGTTTTTAAATTAAGATGGCAATATTCCCAAGTCCAAGGAAACTCCTCGACTAAAAAGAACCAACAAATTGGCGGAAGGAGGGCTAAACTTATGTTTCTTGCCTGTCGGCCAAGCGAAATTTGATTATGTTCGCGGTTACACTTCATTCGTCGTGATGTCTTCCAACCACCAACCACCATACACCACCCACCACCCACCTGCATCCCTCCCCAAAAAGTTGACATAAATTGTTAAAAGTCTCCCTCCCGAGGCTCAATTTGTTGTTCCCCCAACAAGGAATTTATGCGATCAATTAAATTTTTTAAATGACCGAAGAAAAGTTCTTTTCGTTTTTTTAATTTTCATAAATTTAACTTAAAACTTGCGCGCTCACTTCCCTAGTAAATGCGTTCTTATGGCTGCTTAATGTGTCAAGTTTGTTGTGTACGTTGTCTTCGAGAGTTATGAAAATGATAATCAGATTTTATGATGATTAGAAATTAGAAATTTAGAGCCGGCGATGAGAATTTATTGTAAATGAGTATAAACTTGCAGGGGAATGGGCGAGTGGAGGGGAAAAATGTGTCCAGCGAAAGTAAATCAAATGTAAATCATCGACAGCCGAAAGAAGAGCCGGACAAACTTTCATCTTTGGCGGAGCCAAAAATGAAATACAACACATTCTGGGGGAAACCTTTACAACTAAATGTGGATAATCTGTAAGTTTGCCTTTATCCCAAATTTATGGGAAACTGGGTGGAGTTTTCCCTCATATTGTTGTTGTGCTTTTTCTTGCGAGCTGCTCCCTCTGTATAGTTTTTCCCTCTGGTGCTTTTCCTTCCCCCACACACCCCACCACACTCCCTTGACCACCTCTCGTTTTCTCCTCCGTCTATCTTTGCCAGCAAGTGAAAAACGCAGCCCGCAACTAAAACATGCGCATTCAATGGGTGAAGCCGCTTTTCCCACCCACTTTTCCACTTTTCCACCCCGGCAACCCTTCTTCAGCCCAACTCTGTGCTGCTGCAATTCATTTCCAGCAGGCGTGTGTGTGTGTGTGTGTGCGGAGATTTACCGTTTTATACTTGACATTTCCAAAAGTTTAAGTTTTAATTTATGACACCGCCGCTTTCTATACGAGGCGACAAGCTAAATATGAGCGAATGGGGCGTCCTTAAACAGGATATCTAGCCATTGTCGCTGCCTTCCGACTCCAAGAGCTCAAGAAACGTTTTCAATGGCTAGAGGATCCTTACAAAGCCGTTGTCCGGTTTTTGGGTGTCCTATTACTTGCTAAGAATTAGCTGCTCAAGATACAAAACTCTACGGTAGTCGGCGGAGATGCTCAAATTTTTTTTTCTCTTGTACAAATCAAGAAATAAGTAAAAGAATTAAGAAATATTTTTCTTGCTTAAAAAAATATTTTCTTTGTTTTAAGGAAAATTTTTTTAGTTCAGTGGTAACTTTTATATTTTTAAGAATGAAATCACCTTTAATTTAATAAACATTTTTTCTTCAAATAAAGGTGATAAGTCATCCAAAATTTAAAAGCGATTTTTTGTGGTTTTAGGGTGAAAACTTGTATAAGTGTATGGTTGAAAGCGTCTCCTTTACTGCGTTTCAGACTATAAACTGAAAATATAGTACCTTCTGCAAGGGTATAAATATAGAACGCTGTTTTTGTAATGAATGCATTGTGATTTAATAACAAAAGCTCTACGTCAGGATTTTAAGATCTTAGGTTATACTTTCAATTCGAAAATATTTATACAAAGGTAAAGGAGACGATCATTGGGATTTGGTGTAGGTGTAGGAAATGTAATGGAAATGTAGAACCCTATGCATTAATCTTAAGTTTCAAGGTTTTAAGGCTTTGGAACTTCAATATTAGAAAAATAACCACAAGCTGGATACACAAGCCGAATACATTTTATAAGTGTCTTACTTTTCAACCTTCACTTAGATTTTATAATACTGCTGTTTGGCGTCACAACTATGTTTACCGTATAAGCTGCAATAAAATTATTTACATTTTTTACTTCCGGTTAGGAAATATTTTCCATCAGTTTGAAATCACCGCATTGTGGCTCGGACTTTTCTCATCAAGGAGCATGTAAT